AATAAATAAATAAATGGAATTTAATATCTTACAGTGCAGAAAAGGAACTCCCAAGTATCATGTGAGTATATCCATGCATGCAAACAGGCTTGCACGCGGACCTCCACACACACACACATACAGAAGCTGTAATAAAACATTTGAAGGGAACCTTTTTGTTTAAAATGAAATGACTCCTTCCTTTTCACACACATTTTAGGACAGTTATAAAATGTAGAGAAATAGCAGTTTAAATAGTCTGTAAATTACATTTACATTGTCTGACATGCTTACTGCAAGCATGTAGGATCCCACACACTAATACATAAAAATGAGGTAACAGAGGTGATGAAATGATTGCCTTGCAAGTGTGAAGAACTCACTACTATCCTCAGAACCCATGGAAAGACAGCTGAGCACCGTGGCACACTCTTCCAATCTCAGGACTAGGCAGGCAGAAACAGATGTTAGCTGGGGCTACCTAGCCAACCAGCCTGGCCTAGCTAAACAGTTCTAAGTCAGTGACAGGCCTTGTCTCCAATGCAGGATAGAAATACAGTTCAGTCATTAAAGTGTTTGCCATGCAAGCATGAGAATCTGAGTTTCATCTGCAGCACCCACATAAAAAGCAAGGCATAGCAGTAATATGTCTGTAATGCCCGTGCTGTGGCAGAAGGATTACTTCTGCCAGACAGTCTAACCGAATGGGTGAGTTTCAGGCAAGAGACTTGGTCTCAAAAAAATAAAATGGAAAAGCCTAACCTGGAGAGATGGCTCTGAAGTTAAAGCATCTTGCTGCTCTTTCAGAGGACTTGAGTTTAGTTCTCAGAACCAACATAGCAGCTCACAAACATCTATAACTTCTGTTCTAAAGGATCTGATACCTTCTTCTGGCCTCTGCAGGTACATGGTACACAGACATACATACACATAGGCCAAACATCCACACACATAAAAATAAATATTTTTTAAATGAGGTAGAGTAACTGAAGAAGCTGCCTAATGTTGATCTCTGGTATCAACAAACATGCACAAATACACAAAAACATAAAAGAAGGAGGAAGCATACCTGAGGTGGTCTTCTGACCTTCATATGCATGTGTGTGAATACATGTGCACAAACACACACACACACACATACAAACACAAGAACACGCACATCTACACATACATATCCAAAAACAATGTTTCAATTTATCCACTGATTTACTTATTTTATATTTTTGAAAGTCTAGAATAATGTAAATAGTTCCAATTCTTCTGATATTTGATCTCTAAGTATCTGAGTTTATATATTATTAATTGAAAATATTTTAGAAATTTCCACTAATAAATGCATTGGAATGCAGCATATTTGGTTGTCATTATTACAAAAAAAATACATCATTCTTCTAGCTCACAAGCCATTTCCTACAATCGTTTTCAGATAAAAAAGAGAGGTCTGAACAAAGATTTCTGCTATGGTAGTGTACACCTAATTAACAAGTATTTTCAACAGGCCAGAGTCTGCATCATTTTCTTTAAAATAGCAACCCTACAAGCCTCTGAAGTTCCTTGTCATGTGCAGAATGCCTCTCGTGGCATTTGTTTTGAGCCCAGCCATCACCATTAAAAGAGATGATGATATAATTCCATCAGACTCATTTCAGGGTCTAATAAGGGTCTAATAAGTACCTGATCTTTCTAACCAGGCATCAAAACAACTAGATTTTCTATAAGGTAGAATGACCCACACAGTTCCAAAAATATATTTGTGTTTGTGATGCTTTCAGACCACTCAGCTGTTCAGTTCAATAATCTGTCACTATTGACATGAAACTCGCTTAAGACCCTGAAGGGTAAGTGAAGAGGTTGAAATATAAATAATTATGTATACATGATTAAATGTAGTTAGTGGGATAGTTCAGATAGTAAAAATACCTGCTGCCAAGTATGATGACGTGAATTCAATCCCTAACACCCATGTGGTGGAGGGATGAAACTAACATCCACAAGTTGTCCTATGACCATCATTGACCATCATACATATGCTGCCATACATGCACAAATAAATAAATGTAAAGAATTTCTTACACACAATATAAAAGAAATTGGTTTTTACAGATATTATAAACCTATTTACATGTCAGGAAAAAATAAGATAAATATTGAAATCCCAACAAAGGGCAGCAGTACAACCCAAATGGAACACCATATTAGAATACACTATAATGCTCAAAATGTTTCTAATTTATACATAATTATGTTTATACAAACCACTGTCTTTTTCAGTTGAGGATCAGCTGTTACCTGAGACTTTCATGCTAGCTTCCATCAGTTAAAATAGCAAGTAACAGGTGATTAGAATTTTGTACATTCACCCTCTAAGACACATATTTTCCCACCCTTGAAGGCAAGGTAAAGATGATAATGATTTCTAATTTTATTTGTGCTTTACAACTATAATCTTTTAAAAACAAGAACTAAAAAAATATACAATACTTGAAAATAGCTACTAAGTATTTAAATATATAATTGGAATTGTTTTTTATCTGTTTTGATGACAAAGTGCTGAGGAAATGCATCAGAAAACCAGCTAAAACAAAGAACAAAATTTTCTATAACACTGCTTTGATAACAACTGCAAAAGAAATCATAAAATTACTATCCCCCAGGATGCCTAGTTAGAAGAGGACTGCAGTTCTTGAGTATGCAGAAATAGAGGTAGGAATAAAATTCCATTTGTTCATTCATTAACAAAGTAGAATTAAGTCACTCAGATGTTCATTTAATGCCACAGTTTACACAGTAGGTTGTCACTGTCAAAGCCACAAGAGTACACAGCCACACCTCCAGCACCCAGAAAGCTCATATTCTACTAAGGAAAATAATGGATGTATTTTTAAGTAATATAACTATTATATAAATAGCTGTAACAGGTTACAAAACAGATAAATGAAAGGAACTATTCAAAATCCTACAGACACACAGAAGTCAGATCTGAAAGACCACAGTCATTCTACACAAGTAGGACACTTCTAGCCTAGTGGTAAGAATAGGGACACTGCTTCAAGCAAAGAGACCTCAAACTCTAAGAAATGGAACCATTCTGTACTGTTCTGTGAGAGGCCCAGCGAGCACAGAGGCTCATTTTCCACCCAGATGTGTTTAGGTAACTAAAATCATCTAAACACTTACCTCAGGAATTGGCAGATAACTGACAATCAGTAAATGTATCTTGTTTGAAGTGGAAGTTGTATATTTTGTAAACCACATTTCAAATAAGGGGTCACATTTTTAAGGAGCAGATAAAGTTTTAGTCTATGGAGGTGGAATATGTCCTTAGTTATGTGCGTTTCAAGTTAGTTGGAAAGAATTTGTAGGTGGAAGGTACTAAAGTCAGAGAGAGGAGGGCAGGGGCTGGGAGGAATGCTCAGCCAGTCAAGTGGCTGCAGTATGAGCATGAGGATCTGCACTCCATCCCAAGAACCCACACTGCAACCAAAGCTGGGAGTAGTGGGAGGCACACGCTTATAACCCTAGCTAGGGAATCAGACAGTTTGATTGCTGAGGTTCACTAGACAGTAACCCTAATGTAGCAGATAGGAGAGATGAGATCAAGTTATCTCTTTAATCATTTAGTCATTAATAAAGAGATAAAGTACATCATTATTTACATATAAAGGGGTCAATCAGGAAGACAGAAGAATTATAAACATATGCTCCAAATGTTTATATACCCAATCTCATAAACACTGTTAGACATTCAGGAACACTAAAGTACTAGAGTACTACTGAAGCTACCACAGCTATAAAGGGACTCTATGAGGTACCTAATACAGTATATCTGCCTTGATGTGGGTATTTCTTTACCATCTGATCTCCTTCATTCCCAGTAACAGCAGCTTCTCAGCGTGGGCAGGGGAGTTAACCCATCAGATTCCTACTACTATGTCAATAAACTCTGTTTACCTGCTGTCCTGGCTAACTTTATGTCAGCAGACAGAAGCTGGACTCATTTGAGGAGACCCTCAGTAGAAAGATATGTCTGATTTGCCTGTAGGCAAGCCTGTAGTGTATTTTCTTAATTATTGATTGATGTGGAAGAGCCCAGCCTACTATGGGCAGTAGCACCCCTATGCAGGTGGCCCCAGGGTTCTACAAGAAAGCAGGTTGTGCAAGCCAGGGGGAAGCAAGTCAGTAAGCAGCACCCTCCATGGCCTCTGCACCCCCAGGTCCTTTTGCCCTGTTTGGATTCCTAGCCTGACATCCCTCACTGATGGACTGTGATGTGGACTGTTTCTTACCCAAGTTGCCACTGATTATGGTGTTTTATCACAGCAATAGAAACCTAACAATGACACCTAGATAGTATTTTTTATTCTCACACAAGGGGAAGGGTGCTACAAAAATTAAATGCTATGGTATCTGTGCTAGGTAGATCTAAAACCTAAAGCCATATTTTCAAAATGGGAACCAAGATTACAGTTTTTATTTACTAAAACTGTTCCTCCATTCACAGCTCCCATCTTTACTTATTCTTTCTAATAAAGAGTCAAAAGCAAGCATACAGAGACCTATAAAACAAATGCCATGGCAGAACATTTCATGTCACCACAGGCTGAGATAGGGCAATCTGGCAGTGGAGTGCTGCCATATCTATGCTGTTCAAATATTCTATTAACTTTGTATAACCTTAAATAGAACATGCTTGTGTTCTCTCATTCACCTCCAAAGCTGGGCTTTTTCATAGTCATGTAGCAAAACAGACATGTTACATCCTATATCAGTCACATGTTTTATTAGGTTTTACTACATAAATATCTATGAATCATTCCTGAATTATTACTTCAGAGAACTCAACAATAACATGAGCCAACCCTTGCACGGTTATATTTTAGTCACTTGGTAAGGCTAAGAACTAAACTTGGAGAAGTTTTGAAACCCCATGTGTAGTCAGCATGTACAGCTCACCTTAAACTACACTGGTTTTATCTGTGTTTACCCAGCAGCATTGCCAGTAGCTACATAAAATCGCAGACCTGTTTCTCAGCACTGGTCCTGGCTGATTCCTCTTGTGCCAGCACCATTTCACGCTCTGCAGTTATCTGCACACTTTCTCTCAGTGCTTCTTCCAGCTCTTCAATCCTGTCATCCTTCTTACGAAGACTGTCCTGGAAAACGATGAAGACTCAGTGAAGGAGGTTAATCAGAACTCAGAAAGGGCCTACTCATCAAAGAGGAGCCATTGAAGTATTAAACATCCTTCACTTCAGAAGCAAATTGAGGCCAGAAAGATACCTCTATAGAGTACAGAATGGAACAAGGGAAGAAGGAAGCTGAAGTCTATTATTAAGAGCGTAGGATCAAGTTAGTGAAGCAAGAGAGACATGATAATTTGCTCTCCACAATAAAGCAAAGGAAGCTACTGGTGTTAGAAGCCATAAGCAGTAAGAGATTAACTATTTAAAAACTACTGCTTAAGCTGAGCTAAAAGCTGGCTCTGATGGAGCTTCTTGGGAAGTCACACCTTCATGACATACCCAATTACACAGACTATTTCTGAAAAGCTTTTTCCTAAATATAAAGATGCTCCCTAACATTTCAAGAAAGTGAAACTCTCTTCTTATGGAAAATGGAAAACAAGTGCGTGTGTGTGTGTGTGTGTGTGTGTGTGTGTGTGTGTGTGTGTGGTCTGAATATGAATGAACAGTTTAGTTAAGCAAAAGTATTCTCTAGGATTTTAAAATATAACTTCCCATTCATATAAGTAGTCTTTAGGATCACAAAGACAGTACAAGAGTAGGAAAGATAAAAGAAAAAGCCAATAAGAATGGAACCATGAATTCCTTAGATTATTTTTGAACTCTTTAAAAAAAAAAAAAACCCAGTGGATTCAGAATACAGTATTGCCTTATAGCAAAATATGAAAATGAGTATCAAGATTTGCCCAGATATTGATACAAGGAAGGCTAGAAGCAAGTTCTTATCTCTTAGAATATGTCAACTCAAAATGAATTTAAGAATTGAAGCTAAAACCAGGTGTGGTTAACTCCCACCTAAACAGTACAAAGCTGAGGCAGGTGGGTCTCCATGAATTCAAGGCCATCTTAAAATATACTGTAAGATGTTGTCACACACACACACACACACACAAAAAAAAAAAAGATGAGGGAAGAGGAAAAAAAGAACAAAACAAAACTAAGAAACTACTTGGGGGAGGGGCTCAGAAACTACTGAAGGCAACTTCATAATATTTGGTTGGAGAAAAGTTTTTTTGCTTTTTAATAAAACACTAAAAGCTCTGGCAACAGAAGCAAAATCAGACAGGCAGGATTACCTCAGACAATAACAATCTTTGCATTACAGCAAATAATCAAAAGAGCAAAGTAACTCTTACAGAAGAAGAGAGAACATTTTCAACTATAATCTGACAAGGGCTAATATCCAAAAATACGTAAGAAATGAACAGTTATCCAGTTCATTAAAAGGGCAAAAAAGATGCATATATATCTTAAAAAGAAAACATAAAAGTGGTACACAATTTTGAAGACAAAATCCTCAAAATCACTAATCATTGCAGAAATACAATTAGAGATCACAAAGAGGCATCTGGATCCTTTTAGGTTCCTATAGAAAAGACAAGAAGTGAACACTCACGAGGATGTAGTCAGGGACACTGTCTCATATATATAGCTAACAGATGGAGGCTCCTCATAATATTAAACTGAACTACTATATGACTTGGCAACTCTACTCTCATGTATTTAAGTGGAAGAGAGTTGGTAGGTTGAAGAAACATCTATTTGCCCGGCTTTACTATGGTACCACATAATGACACATGGCTAAACAACAGTCAAGACACAGAATCCACCTAAGTGTCCATCACTAGAAGAATAGATAAAGAAAACATGCTATCTGCATACCAGGGAAATGACTCAACCAGTAAAGCTAAGATGGCTTGAGTTCAATTCCCTATTACTCACATAAAGTAGAAAGAAACAACTGAATCCACAAAGTTGTCCTCTGACTTCCATACAAGCACACGGTATGTCACAAATAACTCCTCATCATACAGACATGTACAACAACAACAACAATTTTAAAAGTTAAAAAAGTTCTTTATGCCAGCCTAACTCAAATGGGATGGCTTTCTATTTTTCTTTTCTCTGTCTCCCTAGTCCGGGCAACAGTCAATATCTTTTAAAAACTCTAATAAAATTGTCTCTCAGTTCAATTTTTTTCTTATATAAAAAAAGAAAATGGGCTGTATATATACACAGTGGTAATACTAACAAACCACAAAGAGAAAGAAAGAAATTCCTTTATTTTTCATAATGAAAATGACCCCCAGAGGACATTGGGTTAACTGAAATGGGTTAAGCACATACAGCTAAACTGAATATATATGGTATCTAAAAAGCTGACTTCATAAAAGTATATGTATGATGGGAGTTATATGTGAGTTATAGTTTGCCTTGTTTTGTTTTAATCTGAGGCAGTTAACAAGAATTCTTATTTCTTAAACCATGTCAATTTTCTTTGGAAGATGAGATAATCGTGTCAGACTATAAAATCAAAGCACTCACCAACGGGAAGAGATATAGTCACCACCTACATCAGGGATAAAAAATATAAGGTGTCTGTGTTGTTAGGCCAGTTTGGGTTCCCGGATACCCCTTTTGAAAACATGGTTTTTGCTAGAATACATTTGCTTTTTGTGTTCCTTTGGGGGACACCAAAATTATTCATTGATTATGGCTAAGAATTTGGGGGCTTGTCTGGGATTTCAAACCCAACTAGAAAATGTCCAGATACCCTCCCTTAGGAGAGACAAGTCTCTTCCTCCATTGCAGTGGCTCCCAGGGTTCTCGATGAAACACTTTTTTGGATCAGTAATGATCTCGGTATGGAAAGTTTTCCCCACACTGCAGCAAAGGGCCCAAAAGTAAAGGCCACTGTAACCAAGCAAGTGTAAGCACAGATCATAGGTAAGAAATGCTACAGAGGACAACAAAGCATTCCTTTAGTGGTCAGCCTGGTCATTCTGGAAGCTGAAACTTGGATTGCAAGATATCTTCATAAAATAGGATTTTGCAGTGAGGAGGCCAAGATGTGAAATCACCAAGGAAGAGGAAGAGGAAGGGTAAGAGGAAGGGGAAGCAAGGGTGGATTGTAGCAATAGGGAGAAAGAGATACTGAGGCCCTATCCCACCAAAAAAGTAAACAGATTGACCCAATCAGAAGCAAATTAAATACTCTGGCTAGCAAGGAGCTCTCTAATTCTGTTCAATATATTCCCCACTGCTCTGACTAAATAAAGAGAGGCTGAACAATGCAACAAACCTTCAAAACATAGTTTTAACTCCCCATCTTCTCTCCCAAGCAGCTACTCTTCTAACTGGGTCAAAATGCCAAAAAAGGACACTAAAGTTTTAAACAGGAACAAGTTTGGTTTTCAGGGTCCTAAATTCTAGCCACAGAGGGTCACAGACCGACCCCTCTGATCTCAACTCATGCCATGTTCCAATGGTAAAAAAAAATGATCCATGGAATCTTTTCATGGCACAACTTGGGCATCAGAACTGAGCAGAAGTCAAAGCAAGATCCAGATTACATTGTTTGACATACATAGTTATGATTTGTGTGATAGGGTATATGGACTCATCTTTCTTATACTAAAACTAAGGGGTACCTACCTTTTTTGTTGCTTTGATATTTTGGGATTACATGCTAACCTAAGTCAGGTGACTTTTTTAAGGGAAAGGAGTTGACTACCATATTTAACCTATGAGAGGAATGAATCCCATAGGGACTTGTTCCCTGATGAGGGGTAGACTAATTTTATCATGGGATAGAATTCACCATAAGCAAAAACCAACCAAGTGGTTTGTTATCATCTTGGCTGATGACCTCATAAAGATGAATGTAACCATATGATGTAGCTACTATCTTGGTTAAAAATGTAAACAGTCAGGCTGGAGAGATGGCTCAGAGGGTAAGAGCACTGACCAGAGGTCCTGAGTTCAATTCCCAGCAACCACATGGTGGCTAACAACCATCTGTTATGAGATCTGGTGCTCTCTTCTGGTGTGCAGATATACATGGAAGCAGAATGTTGTATACATAATAAATAAAATCTTTAAAAAATAAATGTAAACGGTCACATTACATGGTACCAAATTGGCTAGTGGCATCATGAACACGGCAAAGGCCATATGAATTCACTGGCATATTGGTTAGTGTAAACACGTCATAAATCAAAATGGTGGTAGCTATAAAACTTCCCAGTGCCACTGAGCCCTTCTTTTTGCATAAAACCTACCTCCATGGTGGGTTTTGTTGATGTTGCTGCTGTTGTTATTGTTTTAACTTTGACACAATGTCTTATATGATTTATTCACAGAATTCTATAGGGAACGTCAGGGTTTTCCCAGTCATATGCTCACAACACCGCCAGGTATCAATGGGACCTGCTACTTTTAAATGGTTAGACTCACTAAGCCTAGAGCTGAGTCTTTGGAAAGCAAAGATCCAAGGGAAACCAAAATAATAAACTGCCATGAGCTGGGCAAGCTGCTACCAACTGGCAGCTACAATAGCAGGAGACAAAGAGGAATCACCCTGCTTGTACAGGAGGTTTGAGGTGCAATATAGGCTTGAGGTGCAATATAGGCTTGGTCTTAATGCCTGCTCTTTCTGTATGATATCTACAAGTCTGCTTATCTCTAATTGAAACACAGTGTTCTTTTTCTTCTTAAGACCCCTTTGTCTGTTTTCATTTCTGCTCTAAGCTCTGGGTACCCTTGCTTTTGTTTCTACTTTTCCCTTACAATGACACAGACAGACGAAGGAAAAGAACATGCTGATACCATCCTTTTCCAGGTTCTTTTAGGTTTTATTGTTTTCTGGGTTCTGTATTCTTTAGATTACAAGACTATATATGGTAAATTATAATGTGGCTTTTCTAACATGGATGCCTAACAGATAACCAACCCTCTTTATAAGGAGATACTCACCCTGGGCACTACAATGCTTGCTTCCTATCTAAACTAAGAAGTACAACATGGATTTACAAATTACAAATTTGAGGGGAAAGGTCAAAAAGATCACTTAAAGGGAATATTGGAGCTTCGAATCACAAATAAGCAGAAAGCTCCCTGCATTATATTAT